AACAGGAAAATGATAAATGTTGAAGACATGGGAAAACTGGAACACTAATGTATTGTTGGTGGAGTTGTGAAATGATCCAACCATTCTGGTGAGCAATTTGGAACTATGCCCAAAGGGCCACAAAAATGTGCATATCCATTAACCCAGCAATAGCACTTCTAGGGCTGTATCCCAGAATCATACAAATGGGAAAAGGACTCACATGTACAAAAATATTTATAGCAGCTCTTTTTGTGTTGGCAAAAAATTGGAAATTGAGGGGATGCCCATCAATTGGAGAATGGCTGAAGAAGTTGTGGTACATGAACGTAATGGAATACTATTGTGCTGTAAGAAACAATGAGCAGGCAGACTTCAGAAAAACCTGAAAAGATTTATATGTTCTGATGCTGAGTGAAGTGAGCAGAACCAAGAGCACGTTGTACACAGCAACAGCCACATTGTACGATGACTAACTTTGATAGACTGACGTCCTCTCAGCAATGCAAGGATCTAAGACATCTCCAAAGGTCTCATGATGGAAAATGCTACCCAAGTCCAAAAAAAGAACTATGGAGTTTGAATGCAAATCGAAGCACACTATTTGCTATTTTTTTCTTCTGTTTTGTTTTGTTTCCTCTTTCTGGTGGTTTCTCCTATTGGTTCTAATTCTTTCTTATAACATCCCTAATGTGAAAATATGTTTAATAGGAATGTATAGCCAGTACCAAGTAGTTTTGATGATTGCTGCTTTATAACACAATTTAAGATCTGGAACAGCTAGGCCACCTTCCCCTGTATTTCTTTTCATTAGTTCCCTTGATATTCTGGACCTTTTGTTCTTCCAGATGAATTTTGTTGTAGTTTTTTCTAGCTGTATAAAATAATTTTTGGTAGTTTAATTGATATGGCACTGAATAAGTAAGATTGGGGAGGGAGGCGGGGAAGAAGGGGCAGGAAAATTTAAAACTCAAAAGACCATGGAAGTGATTGTTGATAAATTAAAATAAATTAACTTTTAAAAATGGGAATTGTCAGAAACTGCTTTCATTTCAAAAATGTGTGATTTGGTCAATGTGGCTCTTCCCTCTTTGGGAGCAGACAGCTGCCCTTCCTCCTTAGTAGCTGGTCTTCCAGAGTTGCTATGTCTGTCTGAACAATTCATCACTCTGAGTCCGGTCTGGAGACAAGCCGTCAGGACCTAGCTAGGAGGTCCTTGGATAATGTCACATAGCCGATGCCCTGATAGAGTTTACACTCTGCTGGCAGAGCCCTTGAGAAACCCAGGAAGTAACAGTGAGACGTTACAAAATATATGGCTTTTAGTATGCAAGCCAATCTATAGGCTCAAACTTTGAAAGAAATTAGGACCAGCCCCAAAACAATAAAATGATGAAAGAGAATTTTAGCAACACAGGAATACAAGATACACTACACTTAGGGCATCATAGAAAAAGCCCTTGGGAGTCAGGATACCTGGATTTGCCACTTCCTAGCTATGTGACAACGGACTAGTGACTCAGCCCAAGCCTCAATGTCCATTTCTATAAAATGGGAATATCAACACTTACTATCTACCTCGCAGGGTTGCTATAAGAAATGAAGGAAACATTATACACCATGAGGTACTGATTCCATTGGTTTTACATTATCTCAACTGAACCTCACAACAACCCTTTGATGAAAGTACTATTACAATCCCCATTTTAAAATGGAGAAACTGAGGCAAGCAGAGGTGAAGTAACTTGCACAGGGTCACACAGCTAACAAGTGCATGGGGCTGGATCTGAACTCCAGCTCCAGTGTACCGTATCCACTGCACCACCTAACTGCCCATGGATGTACAGGGTATTCAGGCAGGCCTCGCACCTCTGGTGTGAGGGCTTGCTAAAACCTTTTCAGGGCTGCTCAACCACCTTCGGTGTCCACCTGGCACACAGCTCTCACCTGTGGCTCCACGAAGCAGTAGCTTGTACAGTGGCCATACCCCACTAAAACCATCTTGGCAGATGGGTTCAACTAGGTTGAGGGTAACTGACAGGCCTCAAACCTGGTGTTGAGTGATGAGGATGTCTACACTAAGCATGTGAAGACTTTCCCTGGGCGGAATGGGCAGATAAGAACGATCTGTTCCAACAGCCATGCAGGTGGCCGAAGCAGGCGCCGTGGAGCACCGTGTGCTTGGTCACACATCAAAGACACCAAGGTCACTCACTCCATCCCAGGCCATCACAACTGGACTTCAATGACTCAAATCTAATTCACCAGAGAGTCAAGACAACAGACCGTGATGTCACTGGTCCTCTGAAAAACGAAAAGAGGAAAACAATAAAATGGTCATGTTTGAGAAGGGCTAGTTAACATTTTATAGGTTCTTAATCATAGGAAGTTTCAAACCAACAGTATGCTTAAATACTGCCATGGGTTAGTTCTTTGGCACACTGGAAGTCTTACCAATGCACCTACTGCCAACATTATATTCTATTCTCTCAATGCATGTCCTATGTCTGTTATGCATGACCCCACTGTGGACACAGACAACAACGTCGACATCATCATCATCGCTGGTTTAAGAGCTTTCCAAAGGTGACACCTGGTAGACAAGGGTCAACACTGAGCAAAGAAGGCTTCCAGAAAACAATAAAAATGAAAAATAGCGGGTTCGTGAGGGGGCAAAGAAATAACTTGCACAGAAAACCAAAGAGTATAAGACGAAGGTGTGTGAGGGAAGGGGCTGGTATGGGGGGCAAGACCCTGGGGGAGGATCGGGTGTCAGAATCCCTGAAGGTGGGGTGGAGGTGGGGCAGGAGGGGTCAGAATATCACTTCTTTCTCAGTCATTTTTAGGATCCTAGACTCTGGGTGAGATTTCCCCAGGGCTCTGTGCTAGGGCTCCTTCGCTTCCCTTGGTACTCTCATGGTGATCTTACCAGCTACCATGGGTTCAATGATCATCACTCTGTTGCTAAGTCTGCCCACTACATACACTGTGCAGCCCTGCTCTTCCATCTCAGCTCTAGACACCTCCACTTAGATGAACCACTGGTGTCTGACATCCAACATGCCCCAAAGGGAACAGGTTACATCCTCCTGGTGGCCCAGGTGCCTGCCTTGTCACCCTCCACTCTGCACCTGCACCCTCCTCCCCACTCCCAGCCATGCCCCAGGCTCAGGGCTCAGCACCTCTTGCCTCGACCCTTCCAAGAACCTCTCAACTAGTTCCCGTCATCCCAACACATACTCAAGAACCCTTTTTAGCCCACTATTGATCCGAGGACAAAATACAAACCCTTGTTAGCATTGAAGGGCCTTTCAAGAGTGAGCTCCTATCACGAGGCCCGATTCTAGCCGAACAAGCCCATTTGCCTCCTGTTGCCTCTAAGCTCACCCTGGCAGGGCTGTCCTCCATCCTTAGGATGCACTCTCTTCTACCAAGTGCTTCTTCCTTCAAGAGGCCTTAGCTGATCATTCTACTTTTGCATCTCCAAAGCACTTGGCACTTTCTTACCTTGGCCCACGGTTTCCCCCTCCCAGCTCCCAGGAGAATGTAAGCTCCTTGAGGGCAGGGCCATTTCAGTTGTCTTTGTATTCCAGTGCCTACCACACAGAAGGCCCTTAATAAATGCTTACTGAACTCACTCACTGACTACCTGATCATTAATCTCATGTCTCTGGGACTTTTTACTCCTCAGTAAAATGAGGAGGCAAGAATAATAGTGTTGTAGGCCCCCTCTAGCTCTGTGACTCCATGACCTTCCCTAAGCCTCACCCAGACACGTATAACCCAGCACCAGGCCTGGGTACCCCCACATCTCCTACCTCACCTGACTGAGGGCAGCCTGTAGTCCACATGGATGCTCCAGGACACGCTTAAGCCTTCACAAAGGAGAGGCAGGACTGTAGAATGGTAAGTCCTGCGCTAGGAGTCCAGAGATCCAGATTCTAATTCCATATGACTTAACACAGAGTGAATACAGGAAGGTTGCTTCATACGTCTGGGCCTCATTTTCTCCGTTGTAAAATAGAGTCCTTCCTAGCCCTAAAAAATGTGTAATCCCAAGTTCCCGAAAGGGAACTAATGAATCATAAGACTGTAGGTGCTGGCAGGGCAAGAGAAATGGCAGCCTCTTTTGCCGAGTTTCGTGCTCCACTGCAGAAATGCTACTATTATACTTATGCTGGGGGCTCAAAGCTATTCTAGGAGTCATTCAACAGAGCAGTTTCAGGGAAGGGGCTCACCCTGCTGGGGATAGAGACTGTCAAACAACAGAAGTAGTGGCCTCAACCATCCCACCCCAGGACAGCAAACCCACCTGTTCAAAAATGAGAAACGTTCAGCAGGAGGGGGTAGTCCCATCCCTCCTCGAGCTACTGCCTCCCCTGGGGTAGCCCTGCACAAGGGAACTACGCCACACAGCGGGCAGAAAGAGGAAACTCACACCACTCGCTGCCAGGATTATGAAAAGCAATGATGAAAAGAGGGACCATTCCACGTTATTACTGAATGTTGACAGAAAGTCCTTTTTATAGCATATCACCAAAAATAACATGTGGCTCTATATCATACCGATAACAGAAGAACGAGCACACACTCAGAAGATCTGCAAATAAACTGGCCACGAATTAAACATCATCCAGTCCCAGATGACGCAGCTCACTAAAGCGAGGCAGGATGTTCTGTTTCTGGACGATACTTGATGCGATTTAGAGTCCACACAGCACGTGACTTTCACCTTAGCTTTAGGGCTGAATGGCTCTGCTGTTAACCACTCAAGCACTCTCAAGTGCAAGGGTAGCAGTGGCGGGCTGCTCACAAAAGCCATGAGTGTGTGTGCACACGTTCTTGGGCGGCCACTAAAGCTTAAGCGCCTGAGAACGAGACTGAGGAAGGAATGTGTAGCAGAAGGCTCCGTTATTCCTCTGATTCAGATGTTTGTGCCTTGGGATGCTTAGATATTTGACCTATATTTAAAAAACTGTCTTAGACATATTACTTTTCAGGAACCACAAGATAAACAGTCACCTGGTCAAAAAAACCCAAAAAGTAAATTTAATTAAAAAAATAGAATTGCCTACAAGATGAACAGACAAATTAAATCACTGAAAAAGAGTCCTGCCTTATGACCTTACATCAACTGGAATAAGTGTTATACCAGTTAGATTAGGAATTGTCTGGAAATAAACACATTTTAAGGGTGAAGGATTCCTTGATTATTTCTAAATATCAAAAAGTAGCACAGGCTGTTCTTCTGAACACCAGCTTCTCTCGTAGAGGGTACTGTCCAGAGTCTCCAATGTTCCATACAAGATAGAGTCTTGCTTTCAGCCAACTCTCAACGGAGGGGCGACTAATACAACCCCATCACCTCGAACAAACAGCATTGGAATGTTCCTCTTGGTTGACTGAGAGGAGAAAAAAAAGAAAAAAAAACTTCATAAAACATATTTTAAACAAATACTTATAGATCTTTTTTAAAACAAAGGGAAATTCTGTGAATATAAAAAAAAATAAATCAAAAACACATTTGGATTAGCCACAAATACCACAGAGAAATAATTTTAAAAACTGGTTATCAATATGTACTTAGCCAAAAAAAAAATCACTAAGTCAATTTTCATTACTCCACATCAACTATCAAAGCTATTCTGAGGTTTTAAGACTGGATGACCAGGAAATGGATATAACACTAAGGGAAACAGGAAAATCAATTGGGATTTTTTGTGGAGGAGAAGGGGAAGATGAGGAGTTTCATTTTCTGAAATGTTGGTTTACCCAGAGATGCCACTATTTTAGTGATAAAAAGGTCCCACAAACACCACGATATTGATAGCAATATTTTTTTGTAGTAACAAAGAACTAAAAACAAATAGATGCCCACCAATTTGAGGAATGGCTAAACAAGTTGTGGTACATGGACAGAATGGAATATTACTAAGCTGCAAGAAACAGTGGGAAGACTATATGAAATGATATAGTAAGAAGGACCAGGAAAACAAACAAAACAACTACAACAATGCAAATGAAAAATTTTTTTTAAAAAAACTGAATGCTGTGTAATTATAATGGTCAAGATTGGCCCAAAGGAGAGGAAAACATGCTCCCCTTTACCTTCTTTGCAGAGCCAGGAGCTGTCATAACTTGTCAGGCTCAGCTGATGGGCTGATTAGCTTTGGGGAACTATTATTTTCTCCCTAGTTTCCTTCTTTTTTATTCTTTGTTATAAGGGATAACTCCAGGGAGGAGGAGAGGGATTTATTTGGAAATGAGGATGATATAAGACCAAAACATAGCAATAAAATTAAATAAGTAAGCACGAAATTTGAAGAAATGGCAAGACACCAAAGGGGAAATGTCTGGCAGGCAGATGGGAGATCTGGGATAGAAAAAGCTGCCTCTGGACACAGAGGAAATGAGTTCAGACGCTGCCTCTGCCACTTTCAGCCTGTGTGACCTTGGGCAAGGCATTTCTCTTGTCCAAGCTTCTCAGTGTACTCCCCTCTAGTAGAGGAGGTTGGACCAGCTGGCCTCTAGGGGGCATCCTGGTTCTCCATCTTTGATCAGATGATGTAAAGGTGCTCAGGAGACCGTGGAGAGCTGAAGAAAGCTCCCAAATCAAGATGTAGGACAAGAAGATGAGAACAGACCTCCAAACAGAAAATGGGTAAAGAGCAGAAGGATGAGATCTAACATCAGGGAAACAGAACCAAGAAATGGGAAGAGGAAAGGTTGAAGAAAACTGAGCCCATGTCCTACAGTGTTACAGAAGCCCAAAGAACAGCATGTTAAGAAAGAAGCAACTGTCTGAACTATCAGGGGCTGCACCAGCAGGCACGGAAGCAATGTGCTGAACTGAAGAGTTACCCATGCTAAATCATTCCATTAGGGGAAACAGGCAAGATGACTTACTTTATAGATCTCCTCATAAGTTTCTTCATCAATTTCTATAGTTGTCACAGTCTCTTCTACATCTCCCAAAATCATGTTTAAATGCTGATCATAAGCCTAGGGAAATAAATGCAGAGGAATTATTAGATTATGGAACACGTATAAATGAACACAGATTACAAATATGTAAATACTTGAAATTCAGTTAATATACAAAATGGATACTCCTTACTGTTAAAATGAAAAACAGGGTATTACTAATGATTTTTTTTCAGTGTGTTTTGAGGCAAAGAGATCATTAATATAATCATGACTTACTTTTTTTGGCAAGAAAATTCCCTTAATGGACACAATTTAAAAATTTCCTTAGAATGTGCACAACGTCAGTATGCAGGACAGAGACTTTACACGTCATTTCAAGGAGGCACACTGCCTATAACACACAAGTAATCGAGAAAGCCGCTAGGAGAACAAAAAGAAGGGCCTTCCCCAGGCTGTTTGTTCTGCTCAACTGTACTTATCTGTTGTCGGGTCAGTCTGGGGGGGGGGGGTGAGCAACAATAATGTTTAAAATATGCACGTATTTTTCAAAAACAGGCAGTATACCACAAAGAGATCAAAAAAAGAGGAAAAGGACCCATATGTACAAAAATATGAGCAGAGTAAGTAGAACGAGAGGAGAAATTTATATAATAACAACAATCTTGGAAAGGAAAACCAATTCTGAAAGACTCAGGAATGCTACTCAATATAGCAACCATGATTCCGGAGGACCAACGCTCATGGACCAACTGAGGACCAACTACTCACCTCCTGACACAGAAAGGGGTGATGGACTCAAAGTGAGGACTGAGACATACATTTTCTAATATGGTCAATGTGAGAATTTGTTTTGCTTGACTACATATAGATACAGACATACACACACACACACACACACACATATATGTTAAATGAGCTTTACTGTTTTTTCATTTAGAGGCAAAAGCAGGAGGTGGGATGAAGAACAGGGTAGTGAGGGGGGGTCCTTCTCAAAAAAAAGAAATGAAGGTCACTGAAACACCTTTTTCAAATGAACAGAAGAGAACAGACAGAAAGTCAGAAGGATACAGCCCCAAAAAGAATTTCTGGACAGGCTTAAAAAGAATTTTGAAAAGCAAATTAGAGAAGCAGAAGTAAAACTGGGAAAAGAAATGAGAGTAATGTAAGAAAATCATGAAAAAAGAGTCAATAGCATGGGAAACAATATACAAAAATTTACTGAGGAAAATAACTCCCTAAAAATTAGAATTGGCCAAATGGAAAAGTACAAAAGCTCACTGAAGAAAATTCCTTAAAACTTGTAATTGAACAAGTGGAAACTAATGACTCTATGAGACATCAAGAAACAATAAAACAAAATCAAAAAAGTTAAAAAGCAGAATGTGAAATTTCTCACTGGAAAAACAACTGACCCAGAAAACAGATCCAGGAGAGATAATATAAGAATTATTGGACTACTTGAAAGCTGTGATTGAAAATAAAAAAGCCTGGATAATATCTTTCAGGAAATTATCAAAGAAAACTGCCCTGATATATAAGAACCAAAGGGCAAAATAGAAATTGAAAGAATCTATTGATCACTGCCTGAAAGAGATCCCAAAATGAAAACTTCCAGGAACATCATAGCCAGATTCCAGAGCTCAAAGATCAAGGAGAAAGTACTGCAAGAAGCTAAAAAGAAACAATTCAAATACTGTAAAGCTATAGTCAGAATTACACAGGATTTGGCAGCTTCCCCATTAAAGAACCACAGGACTTGGAATACGATATAACAGAAGACAAAGGAGTTAGATTATAACCAAGAATCACCAGCAAAAATGAGTATAATGTTTCAGGGAAAAAAGTGAATATTTAACAAAATAGAGAACATTTAAATATTTCTAATTAAAAGACCAGAGCTGAATAAAAAATGTGAACTCCAAATACAGACTCAAGGGAAATATAAAAAGGTAAAAAAGAAACAAGAAAGAGATAACATAAGAAATTCAATAAGGTTAGACTGTTTAAATTTCTACATGGCAATATAATATTTGGTACTCTTAACAACTTCATTAGTATAAGAGCAATGAGAAGGAGTATACGTGGACACAGGATGTGGATAAAGGTGACTTTGATGGGATGATACCCCGAAAACAAAATAAAGGGGTGAAAAAGAAAATTGCACTGGAAGGAAGAGGGGGGAGACTGAAATGGGGTAAATGATTCCACATAAAAAAAGCATAAAAGAGTTATTATAATGGAGGGGAAGTTGGGGAAGAGGATGGCAGGCAAAGCTTAAGCCTCATTCTCATCAAAATTGGTTCAACTTAGGAATAACATACACACTTAGTTGCACATAGAAACCCATCTTACCCTATAAGGAAGTAAAATGGAATGGGGATAATAAAAGGGGGAAGGGCAACTGATAAAAGGGAGGGTATATTGGGGAAGGTGGTGATCAGAAGTAAAACATTTAGGAGGAGGGAAAGAGTGGGGTGAGGGGGGAGGAGGGTAAACAAGCAAAATACAGCACTGAGAAATACACAGTTAGTTGTAACTATAAATGGGAATGGGATGAACTCATAAAACAGAAGCAGACAGCAGAATGGATTAAAAACCAGAATCCTACAATATGCTGTTTACAAGAAACACATTTGAAGCAGAGAAATACACACAGGGTAAAGGTAAGGGGCTGGAGCAGAATCTATTATGCTTCAGCTGAAGCAAAGAAAGCAAGGGTAGCAATCATGATCTCAAAGCAAAAACAAAAATAGATCTAATTAAAAGAGATAAAGGAGAAAACTATATCTTGCTGAAAGGTACCATAGACAGTGAAGTCATATCAATCCTAAATATGTATGTATCAAATGGTATAGCATCTAAATTTTTGAAGAAGTTAAATAAGCTACAGTTATTACAGATAATAAAAACTATACTGGTAGGGGACCTCAACTTTCCCCTCTCCGAACTAGATAAATCTAATAAAAAAAAAAAAAACAAGAAAGAAGTTAAAGAAATTCTGGAAAGGTTAGATATGATAGATCTCCGGAGAAAGATGAATGGGAACAGAAAGGAATATACCTTTTTCTCCACAGTACACGACACCTACACAAAAATTGACCATGTAGTAGAATATAAAAACCTCACAACCAATGTGGAAAACCAGAAATAGTAAATGCATCATTTTCAGATCATAATGCAATAAAAACTACATTCAATAATGGACAATGGAAAGAGAGATTAAAAATTAATTAACAATCAAACGATCTAATCCTAAAAAAAAAAACAGCTCAAAGAACAAGTCATAAAAACAATAATTTCATTAAAGAAGATGACAACTATGAGACAGCATACCAAAATTTATGGGATGCAGCCAGCAGTATTTAGGGGAAAATTTATAACTCTAATTGCTTACATCAATAAAATAGAGAAAAAGCAGATCAATGAATTGGCCATGCAACTAAAAAAAAAAACTACAAAAAGAACAAATTAAAAATCTCCAATTAAACACCAAATTGGAAATCCTAAAAATCAAGGGAGAGATAAATAAAATTGAAAGGAAGAAAATCATTGAACTAATAAATAAAACTAGAAGCTGGTTTTATGAAAAAAATCAATAAATAGATAAACCATTGGTTAATTTGACTAAAAAAAAGGAAAGAAGAAAACTATTACTAGTATTAAATGAAACAAGTGAATTCAACACCAATGAAGGAGAAATTAAGACAACTGTTAGGAGCTATTTTGCTCAATTATGTGCCAATAAATTTGACAATCTAAATGAGATGGAGGAATATCTAGAAAAATATAAATTACCCAGATTAACGGAAGAAGAAATAAAACATTTCAATAACCTAATCTTAGAAAAAGAAATTGAATAAGCCATCAATGAACCTCCTAAGAAAAAATTCTCAGGACTATATAGATTCATAAGTGAATTCTACCAAACATTTAAAAAACAATTAATTCCAATACTGTATAAATTAGAATGTTTCTAGAATAAACTAGAATGTTAGCTATAAGAAGGGAAGAAGAAGAAATTAAAGGAAATAGAATAGGCAATGAGGAAACAAAGTTATCACTTTGCAGATGATATGATAGTATACTTAGAATATCCTAGAGAATCAACTAAAAAACTACTTGAAATTATTAACAACTTTAGCAAAACTGAAGGATACAAAATAAACCTACATAAATCATCAGCATTTCTATATGTTTCCAACAAAGTCCAACAGCAAGAGATCAAAAGAGAAATTCCATTTAAAATAACTGTAGATGATATAAAATATTTGGGAGTCTACTTGCCAAAACAAACCCAGGACTCTATGAACACAATTACAAAACACTTTTCTCACAAATAAAGTCAGTTCTAAACAACTGGAAAAATAGTACTTGTTCATGGGTAGGCCAAGCCAATATAATAAAAAGGACAATTCTACCTAAATTAATCTATTTATTCAGTGCCATACCAATCGAACTATCAAAAAATTATGTCTAAGAGCTAGAAAAAATAATAACAAAATTCACCTGGAAGAACAAAAGCTCAAGGATATCAAGGGAATCAATGAAAAGAAAATGTGAAAGAAGATGGTCTAGCTCTACCAGATCTCAAACTGTATTATAAAGTGGTAATTATCAAAACAATCTGGTACTGGCATAGAAATAGAGTGGTGGATCAGTGGAACAGATTAGGTACAAATTACATTATAGTAAATGACCACAATAATCTAGTATGTGATAAACCCCAAAACCCAAGCTTCTGGAACAGAAACTCATTATCTGACAGAAACTGCTGGGAAAACTGGAAAACAGTATAGAAGAAACTAGGTACAGACCAACATCTCACACTGTAGACCAAGAAAAGGTCAAAATGGGTACACAATTTACACATAAAGGGGGATACCATAAGCAAGTTAAGAGAATATGGAATAGTTTATTTTTCAGATGTATGGATAAGGGAAGAATTTAGGACCAAAGAAGATATAAAGAGCATTACAAAATATAAAAGATCATTTTGATTACACAAAATTAAAATGTTTTTGTACAAACAAAACCAATGCAACCATAATTATAAGGAAAGCAGAAAATTGGGGGAAAATTTTTGCAACAAGTATCTCTGATAAAAGCCTCATTTCTCAAATATATATAGAACTGAGTCAAATTTATAAAAATACAAGTCATTCCCCAATTGACAAGTGGTCAAAGGATATGAACAGGCAGTTTTCAGACAAAGAAATCAAAGCTATCTTTGATTTGAAATGAAAAAATGCTCCAAATCACTACTGATCAGAGAAATGCAAATTAAAACAACTCTGAGGTACCACCTCACACCTATAAGATTGAATATGACAAAAAAGGAAAATGTTGGATATTGGAGGGGATGTGGGAAAACTGGGACCTAATGCGCTTTTTCTGGAGTGGTGAACTGATCCAACCATTTTGGAGAACAATTTGGAACTATGCCCAAAAGGCAATAAAATTGTGCATTGTCTTTGATCCTGTAATACCACTGCTAGGTCTGTATCCCAAAGACATCCAAAAAAGAGAAAAGGACCTATTTGTACAAAAATATTTATAACAGCTCTTTTTTGTGTAGACTTGGAAATCAAAGAGATTCCTATCAATTGGGGAATTGCTAAACAAGCTGTGGTATATAAACATAATGGAATATAATTGTTCTACAAGAAATGGTGAGCAGGCAATTTCAGAAAAACCTGGAAAGATTTACATGAACTGATGCATACTGAAGTGAACAGAATAAGGAGAAGACTGCACACAGTAACAGCAATACTGTTCAATGAAGAACTGGGAGTGACTTAGCTATTCTCAGCAATACAATGATCCAAAGGACAAATGATGAAGCATATTATCCGCCTCCAGAGAAAAAACTGGTATTGACTGAATAGACTTGAAACAGGCTATTTTTCACTTTCACTTTTTTTCTTTTGAGTCTTCTTGTACAAAATGACTAGCATGGAAATGTTTTACATAATTGCCATGTATAACCTATATATGACTGCTTATCTCAGGGAGAGGGGAAGGAAGCATAGAATTTGGGACTCAAAACTTTAAATAAAAATGTTTAAAAATTGGAAAAAAGCAGAATAGTAAAGATAAAAAAAGAGTTAACATATACAAAGTGCTTTGTAAAGTGCTATATAATGCTGCTTATAGTGCCACAGCAACAAAAAATTATTATATTCTGCTTCCACGCATTTCTGCAGGCTTGTAGCCCCATTCTTAGTTGCCAAACTAATGGTTTTTTCTCAGTCCTCATTGTCCTTGACCTGTCTGCAGCCTTTGACACTACTGATCACTCTCTCCTCCTTGACACTCTCTTCCGCCTACATTTTCAGGACATCCTCTCTCCTGGTTCTCCTCCTACCTATCTGACTGCTACTCCAACCTTTCTAGTCTTCTTACAACTTACTCCCCACCACATACTCCTTGATCCAGTGACACTGCCCTCCTGGCTGTTCCACAAATAAGACTCTCCATCTCTGGGCATTCTCTAGAGCTTGGAACACTCTCCCTCCTCTGTTCCACCTACCGACCTCTCTAGCTTCCTTTAAGTTCCAACTAAAATCCTGTCTTCTACAGTAAGCCTTTCCCAACCCCTCTTAATTCTCATACCTTCCCTCTCTTATTTACTTCCTATTTATCTTGTTTATAGCTTGCTTGTACATATTTGTTTGCTTGTTTTCTCCCCTATTTGGATTATTATTGTGAGTTATTTGAGGTCAGGGATGGGGTTTTTTGCATCTTTTTTATCCCCAGAGCTTAGCACGATAGCTGGCACATAGTAAGTGCTTAATAAATGTTTATTGACTGACCTTTTAGATTCCTTATTCAGTAAATTTACAAATTTTAAAATCATAAAGGATCTCAGGGTCATCTTGTACAATGTCCTTATTTCATAGATTGGAAAAAAAATGGGGCCCAGAGAAGTTCAATGTCTTACCTCAAGTCACACAACTAGTAAGAGGCACAATCAGGATTAAAACTCAGGCCAGGCCCTCTATCTGCAGACAAAGCCTCTAATCTTCGTCCTGAGTAGGGATTGCTTCCTTCCTGACACCTTCATATGTGATGGTTCTCTCCTTCCCTAAATATTCTAGGATATTTTAATTAACTTTTACTTAACCAAGCATCTTTTAAACGTCTATTATGTGCCACGCACTGAGGATGCAAAGACACAAGTGACTAACTCACCGGTCAGAGGACAGGTAACACACACACACACACACACACACACACACACACACACCATCCAAAACAGAGTCTGATCTCGCCGCCTCCCTTCACCCTTTATGCATGTACATGTTTAATCCTGCTGGTAGAACTGAAGCCCCCTGGGGCAGGCATGATTCAGGATTGAATCCTCAGCACAATTCCTTAAACCAGTTGCGCCAAAGTCAAATAGAAAAGAATCCCTGTGGGTCACATTAACACAATCTATGTTGCACTGTACTTTTACTTATTTTGTTAATCGTTTCCCTCTACACTTGGAATTCTGGGGCTGCCAGTTTGACACCTCTGGCCTAAAATCTTTACTAGGTGTCTAACGGTATTGAATTGAAATCCCTTCCCAGCTTTAATATGCTGTTAAAAATCTTCTTATATCCCACAGATTTCATAGGATTTAGAACTAAAAGGTACCTTCGATTTTACAGATGGGTAAACTGAGGCCCAAAGAGATTAAGTAACATATCCAAAGTCACTCAGCAGATCCAGGATTTAAATCTAGGTCCTAAGAACACCCATATCACTTTAGCATGTCATAAGGGGAAAAGATACAAGATTTGGAATCAGAGAACCTGGGTGCAAATTTTGTCTCCATCACTTATTACCCGTGTAACCTCAGCCAAATCATTTAACCTCTCTGGGCCTCAGCTTCTTTACCTGTAAAATGAAGTGAATGGACTAGATGATGTCTCTTCTGACTCTACATGATATAACATCTAGAGGAAACTACAAAGCCTACTGAGAGGCAGGGCATTGTACCAAATAAAAGAACTGGTTTTGGACTCAGAAACTGATTTAAGTGGCCCCTCTGACACATATACCTACTGTGACCCTGAGCAAGTAACTTAACATCTTAGTGCTGTTGACAAAGAAGGTACAGATCTGCCCTGATCGACGAAGTCTCCCTGTGTTCAGTTCCTTTTACCAATGAAATCACAAATCCTATCTCCAGGAAAACTTATGCATTATCAGAAACATTCCTCATCTGTCCAAGATTTGATACGCTGAACTCACATGCAATCTTCCTCGTAGTTCTCGATCATTTCTCATTTTCACATAAATTCGTTCATCTAGACTGAGCCTGATGAGATCCAGCGGCTCCTCTACAGTGTTGGTGGTCTGTTGCTGTTAAAAAGAAAAACTGCAATGATACACACCCACCAGAAGTGCTAGAACGTTACCCACCTGTTCTCTGCAAAACCCAAACTAAAGAATTTGAATCTTCAGTTATAGTTTCCACCTGACCTATAGATTACAAGAGGCTGCTCAATTAAAAATTAATTCTTTAACTCCCTTTTATGAGAAGTCAGCCCTTGCCAAGGTACTGTCACCTGAAGGTTATTTACGGCTCTCACGGCAGGCAAGAGTGCCAGGCCAATACACTTTAAAGACAGGAAACTTTTAAGGGTGCTATGCAGAATACCACATTTTCAGCAACAGAGGACATGATGTTTGCAAAAAAGGGTGGAGGGATGGGGAAAACGTATGTGTCCTTTTTATCAGGCTGGGCTGAGATTTACAGATACACAGTGAAGAGACAAGTGGCAACTAAAAGCTGAAAATGAAAGTGAATGAGAGTCAAATCTAGGACTTCCAGGTGGGTAAAGAGGAAACCAGACAGGAAGACCTAGGTTCAAATTTGGCCTCAGACACTCACTAACTGTGTGACCTTGGGCAAGTCACTTCATATGTGCCTGCCTGAGTTTCCTCAGCTGTAAAATGAGGATAATAACAGAACCTACCACCCAGCGTTGTTGAGGATCAAATGAGGTAATACTTGTAAAATAAACTTTGCAAACATTAAAGCCCTATAAAATGCTATTATTATCGTTATGAGGTCAGAGTATAATTATTAATGACACCCCCACCCAAGACCCTTGTCACCTCAACTGGATGGAAGGAAGCTCTCCAACAGCATCTGCTGAGGAATAGAGACAAAAGAGGCAAGGAGCAAGAAAGCCTGTCCACCAAAGAGATGCCGGTTGAAGGAGGCACGCAGGAACTCCGAAGGGACTGCGGAGCATGGAGGCTTTCCGGTGAGCCAGGGGAACGAGCTCCTGGGACACGAAACCCAAGGCTCCAGAGGCTGCTGGCTGCTCAGCTCCTGGCTCAGGTGGGGACAGGGAGGACAGGACACACTTTCTCCTCCGTCATTGGCTGGCTGAGCCGTAAATCAGGAATAGGCGTTCTAGCCAACGACCAGAAGACAAGCCAATGAAAACTCTGGCTGGCTAGCCTGCAGGTAACTGACAGTTCAGCCAGCCAGTGACAAAGCGGAGGAGGGCGTGGTCTTCTCCATTCCGAGCCCAAGAATTTCAGAGATTCCCTGTTAGTAGGAAACTTCTGCGTAGGGCTGGGGGGAGGAACGATTGGACGGGATCCAAGAAAAGGGAGCAGAGGGCTGCTCCAAAGAGAATCCTTGGGGCGCTGCTGAAATGGCCCAAAGGATTGGGAGTCTCTCCGGCAACATACCTGATCCGCGTCGTCCGCCATGTTTCAAATCCGGTTCCTTTTCCCGCTTCTCGCGAGATGACGTGTACGCTCTCGCGGCAGCCCGCCTATCAGCGGGAGCGAACGTGATGACGAATGCCCCCCGGAGGCGTATAGAGCGAGGGCTGCTGTCACCGGAAGTAAGCTTTGCTCGGGTCGGTTCCCAGTCTTCGCCCAGTGGATTTCACTTAGACCTCAGGTCTGTTGGCGGAAACCCGCGGCGGGGGCGTGGCTTTAGCCGCAGGGTAGAGTTAGTGCCCGTCTGGCCCCGCCCCCACGCCTGAGCAGCTGCCCGGGCTTGTCCCTAGGCTAGACCGTGCAGCATGGCCCGAAAGCGGGCGTCCTGCGAGGAGCGGCGGGGGCAGCGGCGCCCCAAGAAGGCCCGGACCCAGGAAGCGGTGCCCGGTGAGTGGGGGGCCGGGCGGGGCAGTGTGCTTGGCGTCCCCTCGGGCTAGTGTGTGTAACTGGCGGGGATGAGCCAGGCGGGACCCTCCCCTCCCCCGTCTGGGAAAACTCGCCCGACAGCCCACGCGATGCTGTCTCCCGCCTCCGAGCCTTTGCCTAGGCTGTTCCCCCATGCTTGGCGTGCACGCCCCCCAATCCACGATGCCGCTCAGGTGCGCTAGTTTCCTCCAAAGCGCAGTTCGAAAACCGTCTTCTGAACAGGAGGGCTGTCCTGATCTCTGAAGCTGCTAGTGCCTCCTCACCCTGAAATTCCTTTGTATTCTTTTGTGTATGCATAGATATAGATATATAGGTACACACACACACACACTAACTATATCAGCTATCTATCTCAATATCTATTTATCCATCCAACTCCTATCTAAATATCCATCTTACCCACCCATCCATCCGAACCTCTCCATCTGAATATCTGTCATTCATCTAAATATTTGCCTATCCATCCGTCCATCTCTGTCCGTCTATCAGCATCTATCTGTCCTATCTGTGTGTGTCTATATGTCCCTCCATCTGTCTATATCTGTCCCATCTGTGTCGATCTGTCGATCCATTCGAGAGAGTGGGTAGAGTTGCCGGGCTTGGAGTCAGATCTGCCGCGTTCAAACTGACAGTGTGTGTGATCTTGTGCAAGTCACTTAACCTCTGTTTGCCACAGTTTCCTCATCCTGTAAAATGGGGTTAATAATCGTATCTGCCGCCCAGGGTTGTTGTGATGTTCAAATGAGGTGTTAATTATAAAGTGCCTAAACACGGTGTCTGATACATAGTAGGTGCCTGTGTAAATGTTAGCCATTACCGTTATTATTATTGTTGTAAATCAGTCAGTCAAACGGGTATTTACTAAGCCTGACGCTGTGCTGGGGCAGAGAAAACAAGTGAGCTTACCTTCTGAAGTAGAAGGCAACAAGTACATGTAAAAATGTGGCCAATATAAAGATAATTTAATAAACATGTTGTTATTTGTGCCCGCATTTATTAAATAAGAGACTGTCTGGGAGGAAGGGCAGCAGCAGTTGCGGTGATCAAGAAGAGCTCATGCAGAAGATGGTGCAGTTTCATATTTCTTTATGTGGCCCCCGAGCCTGGCACAAAGTTGGCATTTAATAATAAATGATTGTCAGTTGCTTGACTGTCGAATTGAGGCATTAAAGGGTGGCTGAGCCTCAGTGTCCATTCAGTTCCACAGATACTTGCTAGAGAATATTTTCTGTGTCCTCCGCCTCAGAGGAGGTAAGATCCTGGCCCTAAGGAATTTACATTCCCGTAGGGGAAGTCCTACACACGTGTAATTGGGTTGGACTGAGGCTCCAACTCCTCTGTCTCTGAGATTTATGATTCGGTTAGTTGTAATTCAAAATAAAACATGGGCAAATGCCTGAGAGAGCTTCTGTGCCACATCAAAGAAAGGAAAGTTCATTTCCAACAGGCACAGTCAAGGAATATTTTTCTCAGAGGGTGGGAAAGTTTAATGCAAGTCTTGAAAGCTATGTAGGATTTTTGTAGACTGAGCTTGGGAATGGGAGACAATAACATGTAGGAGAAAAGTTACCAACAGAGATGGGAAGAAGCAAAAAACATATTATGGAGAATAGCTTGCTACTTTGGCCAGGGGCATAGAGTTTGAGGAGAGGAGTATTGTGAAATAAAACTGAATGGGTGGTGAGTGGTGCCAAATTGGTCAGGACCATGAATCCTAGACCAAGCCTTTGGACTTTGTTTGGTGTGTAATAGGGAGCCATTGAAATATTTGGAGGCAGGCAGCGACCTGATCGTATCTTTATGTAAGGAAAATTAGTCTTGTAGTGGTAGAAAGTATGGATTGAAAGATGTCATTGCCTATATAAAGGTTGAGCTGGAGCTCTGACACACTATCCCAGTTATCTGAAAAGTTGTCCCATAGCAGGTTCATTTTCTATTACCCCAAAGGACATAGAATCCCCAGTAAGCTTATGTTGCATAGTATTTGCAAAACTTAAATTATGCTGTTTATTTTGAGATTTTTACTTGATAATTCTAACTGTAATAACAGCTCTGAGATAGGAAATTCAGGCTGTCGTATACATTTTATATTTATATGCGTTCTGTAAGTAAGGAAACAGGTTTAGAGATATTAAAGTAGGTTTGCCTCTTGTCTCAGAGCAAGTATGTGTTCAAGCCAAGGTTTGACCTCTTGTCCCCTCTAGAAAAATCCTAGGTTTCTTTTCTAATCCAGTTTTTAAAAAACAAAACTCAAAGTGCTTACTAGAAATACGCTGTATGGCTGAAGTTACAAAGGAAGTGACCCAGGACCAGCCCCAACAGGCACTTGAGCCAGGCCCTTCTGAATGAGTTATGGATTCCGGCGTTTGGATTCCTGAGGTCTGACTGATGAAAATGCTGCAGGAAGCGCGGTCCCCAGAGCTGTAATCAGATCTCCCCTGAGTCCTGCCAGTTAGAGAATCTGGGTGCCCAGCGCTAGCCGTGAGAGGCCAAGCTGTCTGGTGTGAGTGAGTCAGAGAGCAGAGAAGCAGCAGATGCCCACAGCTGGGCTGCAGGCGGCTGCTCCTGGATGGGAAGCTTCTCTCCTTGATCTCAGCGCATCCTCCTCAAATGCAAACCAGGGGATTGCTTTTTTTGTCAGTAGAAAATCACAGATCAAAACCCTCAGACTGTCTTCATTATAATTTTCTTGTTCCTATTAGGACACCTCTGTTTTCTTCCCAGTTCTTCTCTAGGTTTTATGTTCTTCTTAGCATCCTTATTGAATGTCCACGTAGTGTGTTGTAGTCAGGGGTCCTTCTGCTCTGTGGTGCTTTTCTGAACCTTCAAAGCACCAGACAGACACTGTGCATACACAGGGGTCGCTTTTGCTAACTCAAAGAATGGTGCAGAGATGATTGCTACCTTTGGAAGAGGTATTGTCCCCATCTTCAGGATGGAAAAATTGAAACACTACTAGCCTAGTCCAGTGGCTTAGGACCAGATCCCAGAATAGAATCCAGAAATCTTGATTCCCAGGTTGCTCCTGAAACTTACCTGTTTAACAAATTTTAGTTCAGCAGACACCATGTGTACAACAGCCAGAAAGGAATGCGGGCCCCTGCCCTTAGGGGAGGACGTGTGCCTTTGACCTAAATGAATGCCACTTAATCTGAGCAGTTCGAGGAGAGCACCAACTGCAGGAGCAGTCAGAAGGGCTTTCCTTAGGAGGTGCACCTGAAGGAAGCCTGTGGCGTCCCAGGGAGAGATGGAATTGTGAGTTCAGGGAACAACAGCTGGGCCACTTTGGCTAGAACTGAGAGCGCCCCGAGGGGTGGCGATGAGAACTACATCCAGAGCCAGGCTGTGAAGAGTTTGAATGCCAGGCTGAAGGCTTGTGGTTTATCTTGGAGGCAATAGAGAACCATTGCAGCATCTTGAGCAGAGGAGTCAGATCAGTCTCTCCTGACCCGGTCACCCTTATGTGGTAGGAAGATTATGGGTGGAGAACAGATTAGAGAGGAAAGACAGTAGGATCAGGAAGAACAGTTCAGAAATAAAGAGGTGATGGGGCCCTCAACTAGGATGGTGGCGTGTAAGTGGGAAGAAAATGAACGTGAGAGGTGTTGTGGAAGTAGAACCGTGAGATTTGACAACTGATTGGATGTGGAGCCGAGGGAGAGGGGCAGGTGTTGAAAACGTGGGTAAATAGAGCAGTGGTGGCTTCATCAATACAAAACAGGGGTGAAGATAATAAAGAGGAGGGAATAAGTGTTTCTAGAGCACCTATGTGCCATGCAGTGTGCCAAGCACTTTTTACAGATATTAGCACATTTGATAATCAGTCCCATGTCAGGGAAATGGGCATCAGGTTGTTTTTTTCAATCAGTCGATCACTCAGTAAGCATTAAGAGCACCTACTATGTGCCAGGCACTGTGCTAAGTGCTAAAAGAGGCAAATGACAGTCCCTGTCCTCAGAGAGCTTACAGTCTAATGCTTGTGCACAGAGTGAGGCTGTGCGCCAGGTTGTGGCCATGGAAATGCCATGATGGGCTGGGGAAAAGTTAGAGTGAAAGAATCTTTGGTAGCACTTTGACTGTCCTTCCCCTCTGCGCCTTTGCCTTCTCCTTCCTCCCTCATACAGATGTTTTTGAAGATCAGAAGCCAAAGAAGACTCGTGTCCCCAGAGCCCCAAGTGGGAGAAGGAAGAAGAGGAGCAGTGACCCTGGCGGGACCCGAGGTAGGGCATCAAAGAAGGCAGGAGTCAAGACAGAGAAGAAATCTGAAAAGCATCCTGGCGTGAAGGAGGAGGCCTCTAGCGAGGGAGAAGATTTCATGTAAGATAGTTCTGAGTTTCTCTGTATTTCCCTTCAGGAAAATGGTAGTGTTAAGAGCTACCTTTCTGTTCCTCACTGAAGCTGTTCCAGGCAGTGTGGGGGTTCCACAGTATATAGAGCACTGGGCCAGGAGTCAGGAAGACCTGAGTTCGAGTTCAGCCTCAGACATTCAGTAGCTGTATGAACCTGGCAGGCTACTTCAACTGTTTCCTCATCTGTAAAATGGGGATGATAACAGCACCTGCCTCCCAGGGTGGTTGTGAGGCTCTCATGAGATGATGTATGTAAAGCACTTTGCAAAGTGCTGT